CCGAATATTCACTGACTTCTCCGTAATACCATCAAGGCTCAGTAATTTCTACTGTACAGCCATTACTCTGGCTTTTTCTCCACGATTTGATTTATTCGAGATTTCCGCTTGTGGCTCAGGGAATACGTCATCATTATGCCTTGGTTTCTCACCACACTGGGGACTTTCTTCTGGTTACTGTTGTTTCTGACCCTGGCACCACATGACCACGTCACCTACTGTCAGGCTCGGGGACTAAGTGGGCATACTTCACCTCGCGGTGAATGTGTGTGTTTCTCATTTCAGGGCTTCGCTCGGGGACTGGCTACCTGCTCGGCTGGTCTTCTACTTTTCTTCTACTTTGGACCCTAGCACCACATGACTGTGTCACCTACTGTCAAGCTCGGGAGACTAAGTGGGCACACTTCACCTTGCGGTGAGTATGTTTGCTTTAATCTAGAAGACTCCGCGCCTCTTGAAGTTGAAGAAGACTATCTCCCTTTCTCGTGGTCGGACTCTAAGTGGGCACACTTGGTCCACTACAAGGAAATTTTTGATTTTGAACTTGAGCTCCTTACATCCTTCTGGCAAGCCTCACTTGGGAAAGCTCATGCTTGGCCGGACAGTTAAGCTGGTCGGCTACAGTCCACAACTGCTTGGTGACTCATTATGGTGGTCGAACCATGAGTCTGACTGCTCGGCTTTGTTTACACGTGCTTGGACAAGCTCAAGACAGTGTTGCACAGCGGATACAAGGCGCTCGAGGACTAGCTGTGGGGGGAGTATGACCTCAGATACCCACGGTAGACTACATAGGCTGCGCTCCCATGGGCGGTCCAGCCCACAAGACGAAGACCTATGGTGCATGGCACTACTCGGCGTGCACCGCAAGACATCAAGGGCGATATCCTGAAGATACTACGAGATCTGTTAGGATACGTTCGATCCCATGATTCATGTAATCTGTTATTACTTTTCGGTTATCTCCTAGATCTAACCGACTTGTAACCCTGCCCCCTAGACTATATAAGGCGGGCAGGGACCCCCTCAAAACATACGCAAGATCATACGATTGCCAATACAAACCAACAGACCACAGGAGTAGGGTATTACATCATGCTGACGGCCCGAACCTGTCTAACTCTTGTGTCTCTGTTGCCTTCTTGTTCTCGATTGCTCGCATCTCTGCCGATCAATCTATCTTTATGGGATACCCCTCGAAGGACTGCTGATGATATTCTGTCGACAGTTGGCATGCCAGGTAGGGGTGTGCGTGTTGTTTCTATGTCGAACAAGATGGTACATTTTGCAGGCTCTTCGTCCTCCCCACAGCCTGGCCAGATCTTTACGGTCGGATCGATCTCCTGAATCATCAACGTTGACGGAGACAGAGAGATCATCAAGCCAGTGCAGATCGATTCTACGCCGACCACCCCAACACTTGTGACTGTAGATCTGATCTCGGAACTGCCTTCGAGGTCGTCTTCATCAACAATTCGCCGCCCGCTCCCCCGCTACCCAAGGAAGCGGATCAGCAACGATGATTTGATCGCATCCATCGATCAGGTTGGTCAGAAGCTCGCTGACTGCCTCTCCATCGTAGAATTGGCTCTGACCACTCTGGTTTCTAAATGCATATGCAAGAATCACGTTTACGTTTCTAAATGCATATGCAAGAATCATGTCACCTAGTGACACTCGATAAACCGCTTAGCCAAAGAATTCCCCTCTTTATAGTACGGCTATCGATCCTAAACGTGATCACACTCTCTATAGTGTCTTGATCACCAAAACAAAAACCTATTTGATATATTTGCCCTGATTAACCTTGTTTTTGTTTTTGTTTTTCTTCTTTTCCAAGTTGGAGCCCTTGATCTTCAAGTTTGGTCTTCACCATCACCATGACCATCATCTAGCTCCACCACTTAGCATAGGACCATCATTTCATGTCTACACACTTAATACAAAGATTAGTCCCTAGGTTTCATCAATTATCCAAAATCAAACTAGGGCTTTTACCATTCCCGCGCCACGCAGCATAGATAAGACAACACCACCGAGCGGTGACGGCCAGTATGGTGACCCATCGTCCAAATACGGCCCGATGAGACAGATGTACGACTCCACCCACTACGGGATGGGATACACGACGGCGGTCTTGACTTTAGGGGCCATCTAAGCCAACAAAGGCCACGACCCCAGAGCTTGGGATCATGGCCAACGGCTCCACAAGCAGTAAGACGATCAACGACCTAGGGGTGGCTACCAACTCCTGTACGACGCCCCCGGGAGATCAGGAGGCGATAACGAAGGCCATGGCGAAGAGCACGTCGCGTAGGATGGCTAGCGAACCACCACCGTGCCAACAGTGTCGCCATGACTGGCACAATAGCACCACACCACACCATGCCACGACGTGGGCACAAGACCATGACAACAACCACGCCCGAAAGTGGGCTACACCAAGACAGAGATGGCGTTACTTGCGAGCCAATTTAGCTAGGTTCTCTCCCTTAGGCTCACGACCCCTCGGTCGGGAGAACCTCCTTCTTTGTATGTGATCTGGCCTCGAACTCTATATGAGGGCAGCCAGAGCACCCTTCCACAGACATCGGACTCCCGAAGCTCTCATTCGGGCAGTCTATCTTCTAGCTCTAGCTCTCCTACCTCTTCCACTATTCTTGCACCCCCCATTGTAAGAGCTTCAGAGCATTCAAGCGAGGAACACGCACTCGATCATCTCTAAGACTGGACGTAAGGCTCTGACCTAAACCAGTATAACTTCTTATGTTTTTTTTGGATATTACCATTGTCTTCATGGAGCAGCGCGACATTCGTATAAATTACTAATCGGTATACAAAACACCGACACCAGCGGATGGCAAGCGAGCTTGACTCGCAAAGTCTGGTGACCGAGAAACCTAGGATAGCGCGTGGTGATTTTTGGAGATTGTGTTGCCGGTCTGTTGGACGTGGTTTTTGCCACATAATCGCAAAATCGGACTTCACGGAAAGTGTTAGTTGTTGCTCTAAGAAATAAGTTTCTGTTTCGTAAATCTACTTAAATGTTGGAACACTAGTTTGTTCCATAGAGAGCATACTATAGTCTTCTTTTGGCATTATCGAAATATGAACCAATAAATAAACAAATAAAACAGCTACCTAGCCATACATTAGCGCATAGGGATGAACGTGTATGGTTAATTCTCAAATCTGATCCGATCACATGTGCCTCAGATCAGATGGCCCAACACACAGACATTAGAAACATTCTCTTGGAAAAAATCCACATTACCTCTCTTAACTTTTGTGAAAGCCTGATTTTTATCCTTGAACTCTAAAACTAGGTAAACCACCTCTCTGAACTTTTAAACCAGTTCGTTTACCTTCCTGACAAGTTATAAGCGGTTTTCAAAGTCGGTTTTGCCTTTTTCTTTTTTATTTATTTTGACTGAATCTTTGAAAAATCATACTAAATCACAGAAAAATCATAAAATGGAAAATCTAATATTATTGGACTCCACATGAGTAGATCTACACAGTGAATATATAATATGATATCATTTAGTATAATTTTTTTATTGTAGCTTTAGATTTATGCTTTTGTATAACATATTATATGTTCCAATTTTTTTGATGTAGTTGCAGTTTCATTGGATATGTATAACTTAGTTACATGATTCAATGAATATGAAATTTTTACTATAGTTCAAGCATACAATAATTAGCTCACCACAATTGGACCATAGAAACTACAGTTATGAATTAGTTAAAAAAGCATAGATCTCAAGCTACAGCAAAAAAAATTATTTTAAAGCATACCATATTATATATTCACTGTGTAGACGTACTCATGTAGAGTCCAACAAAATTGAATTTTCCATTTTATAATTTTGCTGTGATTTACTATGATTTTTCATTAAGTCGAAATAAATAAATAAAAAGACAAAACCACCTTTGAAAACCGCTTATGCCGGTAAGGAGGTAAAACAAACGGTTTTAAAAGTTCAGGAAGGTGGTTTACCCGATTTTAGAGTTTAGAAAAGAAAAATAGATTTTCGCAAAAGTTGAGCAAGGTAATGTGAACTTTTTCCTCTCATATTTGTATGATCTAGTTACTCGGCATAAGAGCTACACTGCACATTCTCAACACCCAGCCCATCACATGCTGTAGCCCCTCACACGACACAGTTCTGGCCCATTACTCTCCCTCCTTGGACCATAATGGTCTGATCTCAATATCTGATGGTGCTCACACGAACAAACAACGGTTCATCACTACACGAACCAAGAGAAGAGCAACATCGTCGGCGCTCTCTATTTTTTTCACCCATCAACACGTTCTCTGAATCTTGTACGCATTTTAAGAGTCAACTCTGCTCTCCATTTTGAGCTAGCCAAAAATCCAAAATAAAGGAAATCTATATTTAGAGATTGAATTAAAGAAGATGTGGGTTTTTTTTCACCAATCTCTATTCCTATCAATTTAAAGGATACAAAGAGACTCTTATGCCTTGTTTGGATCACATTCTCTAAACTTTAGAATTCTATAAGTTTTAGAGCATTTTAGCTTATTTTTTAGCTCTAAAACTTTAATGTAAAGTGGGCTAAAATTTAAAGCTAACTTTACGTCACTTGTTTGGAGTTTTAGTCTAAAGTTTAGAGGAGAAAATCCAAACAGGTCTTTATAGTTGTTCTAATCATAGAGTTTGAGCACCCAGTAAGTTTGTAATGTAATAAAATATATTTTTTTATTCTAATTTATAAGATGTTTTGACTTTTTTTAAATTTTACTATGTATCTAGATACAGTGTATAAAGCTATGAATCGAAAAGCCGAAACTCCCTTATAATTTTTGAAATGGTTTTGAAATGGAGTGAGTAATAAAAAAAATGAAGTCGATAAAAAAATTAAAAATTGGGAGCGAGGTTCCAACCGTGTGGTGCCCCACCAAAAGGAGCTTAATAAAGCAAACGAAAAATGAGAAACAGCAAAGAAAAACACAAGACCTCCTATTCCCCATGGCGACCGAAGAGGGTTCCGGTGGCGGCGGCGGCGCCGCCGGAGCCGGGGAGAAGAAGACCTCGCAGGCGCCTGCAAAGCCTGGAGCGGGCGGCGCCGGAAAGTTCCTCGCGGGGTTGCCGTGGCGCGGCAACTTCTCCTCCGGCTCCGGCTCCGGCTCCTCCAACCTGGTACAGACCCTCACACTGAAAACCCCCTTATTGTATACATTTGTACTTTCTTCGCGCGTGCTCTGAGGCGCCTCGATTCGCGCGGCGAGGTGGGTTCTGAGCCCGTTCTTTCTCGCTGTGATCTGCACAGGGAGGGTTCAGGGTTTACGTCTGCGAGCACAGCACGGATCCCCCAGGTCAGTGGATTTTCGTTACGATTCTATGAAGAATCCGCCTGACATTTCTCATTTCCCTTTGCTTGCTTTTTTTTTTTTTTGAATTTGATAGTTCTAGGGGTGTTAATGTTTACTGTGCTCAAATCCATGGAATGTTTTGCTCTAGGGTTTAAGGGTTTGCCCTCTGGACTGAAATTGTAATTTCGCCTTAAAATATGTTTTACGCACTTTAGTAGTGTAGAAATAAGTAAACTTTAACCTTAGCAATTCTCGTTTTGCTTTCCATGGTGGGTGAAGGCTTTTGTTGTTCTTTTTCAATGAAAGATGTGCATAGGGTTCTCTGTCTACCTGTCTAATTACAATGACTTGCTCTTTGGTTTAGTGGATTGCTATTTGGATTAGAAATGGTAATCTTGTGCATAATATGCTCAAAATGTTTGTGACTTGATATCCTAGTGTTTGCGCTTCATAGTATGAATTTGTTGGATGCACTGCTAGTTTGAAATGTTTTCAGTGTTAATTTGCTCTTGGGATATGCATAACAAAGCTGTTGGCTTTAGCTTCTTGTCACTTCCTTTATGAAGCAGTCTTAGTTGAATGCTTAAAATTTGATGATCTGTTCATCCAGTTGGGTGTTTTCCCGCTTGCTACATGGCAGAAACTTAAGAATGACATCTTCATGATCCAAGTTCTTCATTGACATTGTAATACTTTGCATGATATATTGGATTTTTGTATGCATGATCTTGGTGCTTTTGTCTTCTACTATATTCATTTTTTGGTCAGTCTTTGCTCGTTTGTTCTGATGGTGGAAAGATTGCTATGAATCTTTCATTCGTGCAGAAGGTCATATTCTAGGGCTTCTAAAATTTCTCTCTTTAATTTTAATTAGGGTTCAAATGAAAGTATACATGGAACTATATGGTCCCAGTTAAAGAACTGATAAGGCGTAGTAGATCTAATAAGTTGGAGTTAGTTGAGAAAAGCACCTTTATTGTTGTTCATTTGATATGTTCTGTAGGTTTAGCTTCTAGTATTGTTTATGTTTTCTGCCTAAAAAAAACTCGACCGGCGGGGAAAGACCACCCCCCACGGCATTAGACTAAGAAGAAATTATCAGTTCATCCCCGAACCCCTGCCCCACCCTTACACAGCGCACCGTTACCCAACCGTTACCCTGGGGATGGGCTGGGGTGGGCCGGACGCACGACCTGTGCTTTGAGTGGTGACAGACGAGGGGATTTTTTTTAACCCAGCCTAAAATTCGCTCCCACGGGGAGTCGAACTCAAGACCCGGGAGGTGCCGCCGGGATTCTCTAGCCAACTGGACTAGAGCCCTTTGGCTTTATGTTTTCTGCCTAATGGTCCTTGTGGTACATACTGTAAGTCGCTAGTGTTTATAATTATGTACAGTAATAGGAAACAGTGACTTTAGACTGTCCTCTAAAGTTAGTATTTCATTGAGTTCAAGTTTGAGTGATGCATCTTGTCTAGGGACACAATGCTTACAACCAACCTTTTTTATTTTTATTTTCTTGTCACGGAGTCACTTGTCATCCATAGAAACATGTTTTTTTTAATAAGAGACGTAAGACATGGAACCTTTATCTGGGAAAAAAAAGTTGAGCTCTTGTAGCGTCCCAAGTACTATGCAAAATTACATATATTTATGGCGAGCCACATTTGCTACTAATGGTAATGACAAACACGTACAAAATTTGTGATATCTGTTAGATATGTCTTTAGCTTGTTTAACCTGTTTATATTTCTTCACTATATAAGTGGTTTTCTCCATGTTACCACAGCTGTTAGTACCTATATATTTGGGCCTATTGCCCTAATCCTGTATACAAATGATACATAACAATACCTACAACAAACTGTTATGTTTGTGCCAATTTAAGTTTTTTATTTGACTGGTTAATCTCTTTGTTATTTTAGAAGGACAAGTTATAAAGACGGATTCAACGAATATTTTAATCAGGCATCTCCAGTTGAACAAGCAGAAGAGTGAGGGTAAAGATGCGGATTCCAGGACTCCAGGGGAAAACAACAGAGGGAAAAGGTAAATAACAAAATTATGCAAATATCTTGATTCAAACATTCTGTGCTTGTGTTGTATTATCAATGTTTTCCTAAATGCTAAACGGTAAACAATCGGTCACCCTTCATTTAGCGTTTAGACTGTTTACACGGTGTTTAAATGGAATTAAACGGTCTAAACGGTTTTATATTATTTTCCAAAAATATATATAATTATACATACGTGCATGTAAAAAATCAAGTGTTCTAACAAATACTGGATTGAGTATACATGTTCTGTGCACATAAGTTAATAAGTATTCTAATTTATAGCACAATAGCAAGTCCTCATTCACTGATTCACATGACAATTAAAACATGGTTAATGAGAGAAATTACTAAATGAGTCAAATTATAGACAATAGCATGGTAAATCATAATGGACAACTGTGCCAGCTGTTTAGCATGGTCTTCAAATCAGTACATAGTGCATAGCATCACATGTGTACATATATTCAGATTACAGAATGTCTAAATATCGTTGGTCATCGCTGCACAAGACCATAGACCAAAGATAAATCAGTAAATAAGCAAAATGACCTATTTTTGTCAAGGTGTCAACTGTCAAGTTCTCGGTTGAGTTGTCAACACTCAGTGACTCACACATCAGGTCGTCACATGTCAGCTTGTTTATTCTTTTTTGTATGAATCTTCAAAAGCAAATTTAAGTTTGGTTACCAATCTGAAATGACAAGTTCACTAGAACCAATGTAATCATCAGCTCCACATTTTGGTTCATTTGTATATCTGTCAATTTTCCCATGAAATGCTGGCCCATTGTAACACAGTGAAGACTGAAAACAGAGATTGTTTTTTTTAACAATTAACAAGCTGTCAGCACAAGTATGGAAACATGGTGCAGCATCAGCACCTGTTGGAGCACGGAAGCCCCTTTAAACAATCCATGATCATAAATAAATTTGTTGGGCGGATAGTGAGCAGCAGGTGCAATCATGAAACTAGTATATACCAAAAAGATAAACAACCATGAGTTGGGACAGGAACTCACAGATCACAGATCACAGATACTCTATATACTATTGGACAGATATTTTTGTCTCACACTTACTCAACCAGTTAGTGTACTATATTAAATGGTAGACAAAAATGATGCGTCAGAGCTGGAACGATCAATACAGAGGCTAGCTAGCAGGCAACAATTTCCATTAAGCTAGTGTGCACGGAACTCAACATGGAGAATCACAACAAAAATGTACATGCATATCCACTCAGAATTTCAGATCCAGGTAACATGGAGTACTAGAGAGTGGACATTGGAGGAGCACCTTTGAGTCTGTCGCGGTCGGAAACTTGGAGTAGTCGGAGGACTAGAGGAGGCCGCACGCCGTCACCAGCTCACCGTGGTCGGCGCTGGCGCCGGCGCTGCTCGAGGTGCACGCGGACACGGGATGAGGACGCTCATGCGCGGCCTCGGCACATAGACCCAAGCATGATTCTTCTCTTGACACCTTCCTGGAGAGCAAGGACACAGGCGCACGGCTTCACCGGGTGGAGGATGAGAGGATCGATGGAGTGCGGTGGCCGATCAGCAAGCGCGGTCGCGGAACGAGTGGCGGCAGGGGCAGGCTCTCTGTTGAATAGGAAATAAGGAACCCTAATGCAACGAATTGGGCCTTGCTATTATATATGTCCTGCAGGTTGGTCGAAGATTAGGCGTGTGTTCTGGGCGTGAGTTTTGGTGGACCAAAAATTTCGGAAATTTTCCTCCCGCGCTCGGACCTGTATCTCCTGAACAGTCGCCCAGGTCTGTTTAAGTACGTTCTGTGTCGCCTGTTTCAACCGTTTTTCAACGTTTACGACCATGTAAATGCCTGCGCTGTTTAACAGGCCGAATAGATTCTAAACAAGACATTAAGATCCCTTTTCCGTTTACCAGACCATTTAAACGGTTTAAACGGCCGTTTAGGCGAACACTGTGTATTAGCCCCTAGTTTTGTGTATGTTCTGTTAGTAGTTAACAGATACATGATGTTGCATGAATATAATTTCCTTGCGCATATGAAATTGCTAAAATCTTGTTGCATTTTCAGTACTTTTGTTGATCCTAAGGATATATTTTTTCTTGAATTACTCGTCATAGGCATGAATATTGGTAGTCGTAAGTTACTTAGTTACCTATATTTAATATTCTTTCATATCCTTCATCAACACCCATTTATTGTTCCATGTTTGATGCTCCTGAATTCTAAGTAATGTTTACTTTTCTGTATGATTCCATTGGAATAAGTGATTAAATACAGGTTCAAATAAATCATTATGGAACTACCAAATGAATCATTATGACCTCATAGGGGCAAGGCCAAACACCTTGGATTGGTTTACACTATTTTCATGCATAGGCTTGCTGGCACTACCAAATATAGAGTACTTCATTCTGTTCTATTTCCAGTACTACAATTGCAGTATGTTCTCATTGGCAATGTTCTCATTTAGTGCATTAATGTTAAAACGAGCTGTGCAATGTTTTAAGATGGGAAGGAAGTTTAGTAGAAAATTAAAATTCATGTCAGAAGACTCCTAACTTGGTCGAGCTGTGCCTTCGGAATCCGGACTACCCACAAATTGGCCCAAAATTCTAAGATGGGAAAGGTCCACGGTCACTTTAGTAGAAAAGACACCGCAAAAAATTCATCAAAGAAGACACCCGAGAGGGATCGAACCTAACTTCGTGCCTCGGGCTGCAACACGCTTACTAGTCCTGCCATTTAAAGTTTATTGGATAGGTAATACCCGCAACCTTTTAATGAAAAAGATAATTCTTAATTAATGTTTGACTATTGTAGACACTTTTTGACAGTATGGAGGAAAATCAAGTTTTGAACATTTTAAATGTATTATAATTTATGATGTTTGTGCTTATTTTGATGGTGGCGCCATGCCCAAAATGAAGATAGATGTTTGACTATTGTAGACAACAAAATCAATTAATCTGATGGGTGGTTGGTGGCGATAAATGAACATAGATGGCCTAAACATTTAATCTGAGGGGTTATCTCCTTGACATAAAAACAAGTTAATGGAAATGGCATACAGAAACATGTGGATTCTTCTTTACAAATTAGTTGGTGCTGTTTGTAGTTTCTTATGCTATAAATATCAATTTCACTTCAGCAATCTACTAAAATAAATTAGTCATCAGAAGTTGACAAATGCTGATTGCTGATAATAACTTGTCGCTTGATTATGTCCTGATATTAATTAGCTACTTAACTACTTGAGATTTACACATACCTAGTTGTCAGGACCTTTGTGGAGCTTCCTTCTTCATGGGTGCTTAACTGCTTATTGGCTGGATGGCCTTTGTGGAGCTTCCTTCTTCATGGGTGCTTAACTGCTTATTGGCTGGATGGTCAAACTTTGCATAAGTTGACTTTCAAAGTAAATTCTCTTTTTATGTTACCAGATCTGCTGCCAGAAGTTTGGATGTCAACAATTCAGCAAAGAGGGCTAACTTGGGTACTTCCTCTGGATCATCAGCCTGTGGTAATTTTTCTTCGCCTGAACCCTCTTGTTGTATTCATCATCCAGAGGTTGTCTCCTTTATCTTTAGCATCTTAGGGAGTAGAGAGCCAATAAAGAAATAGCAGCTTCCCCCTGTTTTCAACGAAAGCCATGTATTTGCCAGTTGCTAGCCAGCTTATGGAGTTTCCACTTCAAGTGATAATGAAATCAGCACATAACCAGTTATGACACATATAGCATTATGATCTATCTTTTGTTTGTGATATTTGTGTATGTTCTGGAATCTAGATATTCATTAATAGAGTTTCAAGAGAATAAAAGTCTCTTTTGAACAATAAGAGAATAAATATGTACTCTTGTTTTTCTCCAACCCCAGCTTAACTAGCTATTTTTTCTTGAATCTTAGAGGTACTTTAATTTTGCAGAAGAAATTTCTGGCTTTTCACAGCACACACTGCAATCATTTACAGTGGAGAGGTTACGTGCACTTCTACGACAAAGTGGTCTATCGACCAAAGGGAAAAAGGCAAGCGAAACCATTTCTCAATCTTGTTCTGAAAGGGATTTTTCATTTTTAATGTCCTAATGAGTAGTGCATCGTTTTGATTTTGTGCTCCATCTGTAGACTGTATTCCGAAGAATTGCACTGAATGAACAAATATAGATTTTCCATACATACTCATCCCCTGAAGTCGTTACCAATGCTCTTGCATTTTCATTTTATATGGTTAGTGCCAGCAGGTTATGGCCTTTGTGTTTAATATTTTTATTAGTCTTCAAGGCCACCAAATGTGGTGTTAGAAAAGATATTTTGTAACAAACAAATTTAGTTCAGTGTTCTTTTGTATTCTATTAAGAAAACCTGGGGGCAGAAGAAAAAATTCAGCTAATTTTCTCCATGCCTATATTATTCATTTTATGGCCATTATTTCACCCTAGAACCAATTGAAAGTGTGACTGCATTTTGCTTTTGCAGGATGAACTGATTGCTCGCTTACGGGAGTCACAGGGTTGACATCAATCTCGTCCTTGTTTGGTCAACCAAACCCCTGCAGGCAGGGTTACCACCAAATGAGTATCGTCAGGCTGTACTTGTCAGTGGCTGTTCTGTCTAGATTTAATCCGATGTAGTGGCATATGTAGGTTGAGACTTTGTCGGACCTTATTATACTCAGAATTTGTTGAGTAGCTGTTATCTGTCAACCGTCATGAATTCCCTGTTTTCTCATACCCGGTAGATTTAGAAATGCAGGTATGTGAATTCAATGCTAAGGTGCATTTTGCATCTGCTCTTTTTGCTAAGTTAATTCATGTCTGTATTCTGATTGCCGAATTCTTGTGCCTATCTTTTTTCCTTTTATTTCGTTTCGACCGTAGTGCTGCAAATTGAAGATAGCAGCAGTCACGTCAGCGGTGTTCCAGTCAGATATCTGCTTGAGTATATCCTGGAACAGCTATATGGTGGTGATGGTCCAATGTTTTGGTCAGCTGTCATGCTCCAATATCTTGCAAAGATCATTTCTGCCAGTTTACCAAATGATTGAGCAATCTCACTAGAAAAGCAAAACTGATCGTGAAATGAATATATATATCGTCTACCACAGTTGTCATACTTTTTACATTGAAATGCCACTTGCCGCATCCTCGGTATTTGGAGAGACTGCAAATCTGTAATTGACACCTAAAAACAAAAGGACAACGTGCTGGTTACTGGTTAGACAACTAATAGTTCTCTGAAGCATCTGAACCGACAAATCGAGGAAATAATTTGAAATAGCTTGGGCTATGCTCATGGCTCCATTCTATTTTTTTAAGGTGTTTTAGTGACTTTTCTTATTGCTCTCGTCGTGAAAAAGCGACGTGCAATATTTTTGCATTCGAATATTCCTTATTTTTTGAAAAAAAATTCATTCTAGTGTTCTATATATCCCCCCCCCCCCCATTAAGAAAGTCATATTCCTTTGCATGACCTAACAAGATCATAAAACATAGCATGGATAATGTTTTGCTTTCTGCAAGGGATTCGATTATCTCGGAAGCACAACACGTATATAGAATGGATCTTTGTATCCATCTCTGACAAGTAACAAGTTCAATGCATCATCTTTATTGAACCAGTGGAGATCAAAACAAACGAATCAGGCATGAAAAAGAGTTTTCTTTAGTCTTCCACCTCCGGCCTTTTTACTAAAAAATTAGCATTATTGCTGTATAATCTCTGGCAAATCAGCAGCAGCTTAAACCATCCTTTCTCTCAAGTTTTGTTAGCACAAAATGGTGCTGTCTGCTCATCTGAGACTGGAACAAATATTTCAAATCGGCAGGCATTGACCGGTCCATCTCATTTTCCTTTTGTGCCATCGGCTGTAGCCTAGCCAATAAGATGTGAACAAGTGCTTCTAAAACTCATACTAGCACCATGTGCAACGTACAGGTTTTGAGCTTTGACAGGATCCAACACAGAAGCTGGTTTTTTTGGCATCCTATTAGTTTGTGGAAATGCTATGCGCACTGCGCTAACAACATCTCACATCGCTGGAGGATGCCTGCACAGCTTTTTACTGCTTGTAATAACGCCAAAATTCGTGGTACATGTGGCCTTGCATGTAGTATACGTACAGGGGCGGCACTAATTCATTTTTCCAAATTTTTCTTTATATTAGGTGATTGGTTTGGATATGTCCCGCCTGCCTTTCCTACAGTTGCAGATTTGATAAGTGAACAAGTGTCTGTGGTGGGCCCTCCTTGGCTTGTTGGTATTGGGACAGTTCTTCTCCCCATGGATCAGGAGTCAGGTCTTGCAGAGATGATAATTACGCCATGGATCGTTTTGAACCCGGATCTCCGAACAAAGTATATTCCGACATAATAATTATGTAAAAGCTGAAACTATTTGACTTTTCGAAGAGTGAGAATAACAATCTTTGTGGGACAAAAAGGATATGAAAGGGAATTAGGCTTTGCATGGTTTGAATGTAATAGTTACTGTGACATGGAACCGAAAGCCCCTTTCAACCTATACATGAACCGAAGAGATTTTTTTATGTTTAATCCTTTAAAAAAGATATTTAATTTTTAATTTTACCTATACTTTTAAAAAACTAACCTCTTTAGTCATGCCAAGCTTCGTGGCGTGGCACTAACTCCGTGCCACCCCACATGAACCGGTGTGGTAGGGCTGCCATTGTGGC